ACTGAAGATCATTCAGTTCCAACCACCTGCCGTGGGCAGGGACACCTCACACTAGACCGTGTTGCCCAAGTCACTGTTCAGCCTGGCCTTGAACACTGCCAGGGATGGAGCATTTACCACTTCTCTGGGCAACCTCTGTCAGCGCCTCAGCACCCTCACAGTAAAGAACTTCTTCCTTACATTCAACCTGAATTTCCCCTGTTTCAGTTTGAACCCATCACCCCTTGTCCTATCACTCCAGTCCCTGATGAAGGTCCCACCCCAGCATCCTTGTAGCCCTCTTCAGACACTGGAAGCTGCACCATCCACCAAAGCAGCACCTTTTCCCTCCTTACAAGCACCCCCCAGAAGCTCCCCCCACTCTTCTCCAACACATGGGCAACCCGAGAGGTTGAGTGCCCAGACCAGCTGAGGAATCCTGGGAACAAAGAGGCTCGTTTCACCCCCAGGCTCCCACGTTGAACATGAAAGGCTCCACTGCCAGCTACGGTCTCTCTTTACCCCTCACCACCACATCCCTGCCACGTACCTGCGGTGATCGATGCACTGCACCACCCTGCCGAACGTGCCTTCCCCTAAGGTGCTAATAATCTCATCTGGGAGGGAGAGAAGGAGAGGAAAGCAGATGAGAGAGTGAGCACGACCTGGATGCAGTGCATACACAAGGCAGAGGAGAATGCATTGCAACACCTAACCTGCACACAGCTTGAGAGGCCGGAGCAGCGGAAGGCTGACACCGGCTGCACAAGGCAACAGCCCTAATTCCCTGGCACTTCAGTAACAATACAAAATATAAACGTAGCTTTAACAAAAGGGGAAGGAAAAAGGAGAGGGTTTCTCTTTAATAAACAATGGAAATAAAATGAAACAGAAAGATAAGACAGATCTGCGACTGCGATGGGAGCTTAACTAGAGAGCTAAATTATGTTACGATTTGGCTGTACATCTTTCTTGTAGCCAGTCGCCGACGCGATAGATCAGATGCCCCTCGTCGTCGTCCTCCACACTCTTGGCCCTTCTGCTGCTCTGTCGACTCCGCTGCTGGCCCAGGCAGACAGGGAATTCATCATTCACCAATCACATTTTCAACCCAGCGCAGCAGCCAGCGTCACGCATTGGTTGGTTTGGAAATTCACATGGTTGTTTGAGGAGGGGTTGCAGGAGGAGATTCCCAGCCAATTCATACGGCACAGAGGAATATATAACGATAGGGATATTGCAAGGGAACATGTCAAGATACAACACACTAGCTCAGAAAAGAAAAAAACAGTTTGCTTTTCGTTGTAGCCAAAAAGAAAAAAAAAAAAGAAAACTAAAAGGAAAAAAAGAAAAAAGAACAAAAAAAAAAAAAAGAACCTACAAACAGCCCCACCCGAACCAGTGCGAGAGCAGAGACGGTCACAACAGGGCTAGTGGAGGGCAGAGCAAGGGGGCAGCTGCCCTCACTCCTAGCGGGGCTCCGAGAGCATCGGCACTGGCCTTCGGGTCCTGGTGACGCCAAGAGAGCGCGGCAGAGCCTCGGGGAGAGGCTCCTTCAGCCCCATGCAGCCGCTGGGGAAAGGCAGCAGAAGGCGGGTGCTGGCAAGTCCTGCACAAGCAAAGGCCCGGGCTGTCCCCCACATCCCATTCCAACAGCCCCCCGACAGCGTCCCCCAGCCCCAACACTCAGGCAAAGATGAATTCAGAGGTTTCAGAAGCAACTCTCAGTACAACGATCCGTCCAAACCAGAGAGGACTGCGACTGCCTTGGGGAAGATGTGACCTTGCTGCCTGCACCCTCCCCTAACAAAGCTGATCCTGGAAGGACTAGCTTCCAGGAGAGAAGCAGAGGCCCAATAGGGAATAGGGACAGCCTGGGATGAGGCAGATAAGAGGCTTATGCCAGAGAAGAGAGAATTCCTGCCTTCAGTTCTTCAGCTAAGTATCCCCACACCTGGGAGCAACCAACCGGCCAGCACACCTGGGACCTGAATCCAGCCCCCAGTCCCATCCCTGGACATACAGCCAGAACAGACCGGACAACACTGAGAGCTCCACATACAGAGCAGAGAACGTGTCTGGGTCTAACAGAAGTGGAAGGTGAACAGCAGAACAGACAAGAAGAGAACGGCAGGGACACTGCTGGGAAGAGCCTGTGACGGTTGCTGCCTCCACTTGAATTGATCAGTCCACAAGTTTCACTCCTTTGCAGAGCCCCTCACATGACACCCCACATCAGCTGAGCCCACCCAGAAGGATCCTGCTCTGCTGCAGGACGTAACCCTCAGAGACAGGGAGGCTTCCTGCCACAGAACACAGAACCAGGGACCGAGCTGCCTGTGGCAGGCAGGATGAGCTCTCTGGGACCAGGATCAGCTGGACCTCACACAAAAGACTGCTTGGCTGGGGTTCCTAGACAGCTCTTAATGAGCACCACCGAACAAAAACAGTGCTCTGCAGGGATAAAGGAGCTGAGGCCTGCTGCACCACCCCGGGGGGGACACGCCAGCCTCGCAAGGCACAGCCTGTCCTCCTCCCACCTCTGAGCAGGCAACACTATGAGAGGGGCTGAGCTGCCTGGGCCGGGCTGGCACAGGGCAGCCCCTGCTGAGGCGCAGCAGGATGGTGGACACGAGCTGCCACCTGCACCAAAGGTTTCTCTATGCACATCTCAAGCCGAGTCTGAGAGAGCAGTTAGAAAGTGAGTTTTCCACTTACCCAGCTCGGCACCTGGGAGAGAAAGGTTACAGGGGAGGCCCAACACAGCAGGATACTCACCGATGAGGAGCGACTAAAGGACCGGCTGCGGCGCCGCCTCCGCCTGTGCTTACGCCGGCTGCTTTTGCAGCTCCGGTAGCTGCCCTCACGGTCCCGGGAGCGCCGGTACTCGTAGGAGTGACGGTACTCGGGGTCATAGTAGGCTTCCCCCCGCTCGCGGCTGTAGTCGTTCCGCCGGTAGCTGTCACAGTAACGCCGGTCGTAGGCCCTCCTGTCTGCTGAGTGGTCATCGTAGCTGGGGAAGGGCAAACAAGGCAGGGACTGCATTAGGAACACAACCCAGCTCAGAGCACAGCGCAGAGCAGGGGAGCTGCCCCTGGAGGAACCCCGCAGGTCAGGGGCCCTGCCCCGGCCTTGCAGCCTCACCTCCTGGAGCGAACGTGGTAGCTGTCCTCCCGCCGGTGCCGCCGGTCCCGCTCGCTGCTGCTGGACCGCGACCGCCGCCGCTTGTGCTTGCGGCTCCTGTAACGCTCGTGGTAACTGCCCCGGCTGCTGCGCTCCGACGAGCGGTACCTTCGGGAGTGAGGCATCTGCAGGGACAGGAGAGGACCGTGAGAGGCAATGGCAAGGGAGGGAAACCAGCGCAGAGCATCCGCAGCCAAGGAGTTGCCAGGGCAAGGAGAGGGGAGGCCACCAGCAGCGTCTGAGCATGCAGGGGGGGACCTGAGAGGGAGGGTATGAGCTTCTGAGAGACCCCAGCACCCCATATGAGAGGATGCGGCCACCCATATGGGCTGTGCTTGCTGCAGTTCTGGTTTTCAGGTTACTTTCACCTCTTCGCACTCATCTCTACTGGCCACAGCTCCAGGAGCAGCACTCGAGCCTTCCGAGCTTCCACCTTTTTTTCTCTTTAAACTAAGGTGCTCCCCAGAAAGGAGAGAGCAGCACCAAGGAAAACTGAAGGTGAAATGAAGCTCAGGATATCAGCAAGTGCTTGGCCCAAAGTCCTTGCACCCCCGTACTGGTGCACAGGGACTTTGTACAGGAGCTCCTGAAGAGATGCCTCTGGTTTACTGCTGAGCAAGAGACATCCACGCTTCCCTCTGCCCCATCCAGGGAGCAAATCCACCCTGTCCACACGCAAAGGCATTCATGAAGCCTTGCAGAGCCCTCCTCAGTGGGATGAGCGCTCACCTCCACCTCTGTGATGGGATGCAAGAGCCAAGACGGAAGGAGTCTGTCCCTCAGCAGGACTCCACCCTGAGTCCCGGTTCAGAGCATCCTGCTCCCATCCCCAGCTCTAAGCCATTCCCCATACGTATTTTAGCTCCAAACCATCAAACACCTCCACCTGCTCTGCTTCCAAAGCCAACAGCCCGGAGCTCCGTTTGCCCACAGCCCTCCTAATGGCGACTTTCCTCCCGCACCCCCCACCAAGAGGCACACACGCAGCGGCTGCACACCCGCCCCGGTGTTACAGGCCCGGCTACCGAGAGGGCGAGGTGGCGACTGGAGAACCCGCTCACGGTTCTCCCCCCCCCCCGGGGCCGACGGCTCCGAGTCCAACCTCTCATTAAGGGCAGCGCACGAAGGCGGCGCTGGAGACCGGCCAAGGCCCGGCACCCCTTTCCCGAGCAGGCAAAGCCCGCAGCGGCGCGTTCCTAAAGCAGCTCTGGAACCGGTTTGGGGACGATGATGGCGGCCGCGCTCCGCCGCTGTCGGGTGGGGCCTGAGCGGCCGAGCGCCAACAGCGGAAGCACCGGGAGGAGCGGGGACGGCACCAGGCCGCGAAGCGGCAGAACGGGGCTCACGCACCGGGAGGCACCGGCACCGACGGAAGAGACAACAGAGAGTTGACGGAGGGGTGGGGGGAAGCAACAGCAAGGCCTCACCGTGGCCTTCACCTCCCTCACACCCCACCCCCGGAAGGGCCCGCAACCACCCCCCCCCCCCTCCACGCTCCGCACCGTCCTCGCAGCCAGCCCGGTGCGTTTATCCCACAGGAAATCCGTGATGGCGGCCGTGGAGCCCCCGGGAATCCCGGGCCCCGCTGCGAGTGCTCCGAGCTCCGCCGCGCCCCGCAGCCGCCGCCGATCCGGGTCCCCACCGCCAGGCCGCGTACGCACGTACGCAACTGCGTCACACGGGGCGGGGCTGGGGTGGGCGGGGCTCCGGGGGACGACGTACGTCGTCCCCCGGAGCCCCGCCCACCCCGGCCCCGCCCCGCCCGCGGGGTCCCGCGCCGCCGCCTCCGCCGCTCCGGTACCTCCGGTGCATCCCCGTTAGCGGCGGGGTCCCGGTGCTTCGTCCCCGGGGTGCGCAGTGCCCCCGGGCGGCCCGTGGAGCTGCGGGTACCGGTAACGGAGGAGTGAGCGGTGAGCGAGCGGTCGGGACCGGCGAAGTGAAGGCGCGCCCGCCCGGGGCCGGGCATGTGCGACGGGGCGGCGGGCAGAACGCCCGGGCAAGGGCGTTTGAAGGAAACGTGAGGCGGCGGCGGAGGGATGGAAGCGGCACCGGGCAGGAGCCCCGAGCCGCGGGAGAAGCCGCCGGTGTTGGATGGGGAAGCGACGGGAGCGGCCCCGGCTTCGCCGGTGGCGGCGGAGCAGATCGTGGCGGAGGGCGAGGCGGCGGCCACGGCGACGGCGGCGGGCACGTTCGTGCAACGGCAGCTCGGGGCCATGCTGCAGCCCGCCGTGAATAAGTTCTCGCTGCGCATGTTCGGCAGCCACCGGGCCGTGGAGATCGAACGGCAACGGGTGAAGTCGGCCGGTGCCTGGATCATCCATCCCTACAGCGACTTCAGGTGGGACCCGCTCCCGTGCCGCTGTCCCTGGTGCTGAGCGCGGCTCCTCCGCCCGCCCCGCCCCGGCTCCGTCGGGGCAACAAGTGACGGGCACCCGGGGCTCCGCAGCACCGGGCCGGGAGGACGCGGCTCCCGCACCGCACCCGCCGGTCCGGCCCTCCGCTCCCCGGGGCCGCGTAGCCCCAGCCCCTGCGCCGTCCTTGGGTGATCCTGCGGGGGGGCACCGGTGAATTTCTCCTGCCTCAGTCCCCCCACCACCACCGGGCCCCGGGGTTCCCGTTGGCCGGGGGCAACCCAGCCCAACCGAGGCTCCTCCGTGGAGGAGGAGGAGGCAGGGTCCGCCGGCCTTCATCCACGCAGCCCCCCGCTTCCCGACGCTGTTTGTCCGTGTCTGGTGAGGAGCTGCGTGACCCCGGTGGGGACACGGGCCCCACGAGCTGCCTGCAGAGCCTGGGAGCTGGTGGCAGGGGGCAGGACGCCCAGCACGGAGCCGGGCCTGGCTCACGGTGTCACCGGGATCACGGGGAGGGCTCAGGGACGGATGATGTGGGAGGAACTGGGTGTCACGGGGATGTTGAGTCATATAGGGTGGGCTTTCTCTACGGGGAATGGCAGTCGTCTCCCGCGGCAAGCTGTGACACGGCTGATGTCCCCAGCCCGGCGAGCACCCCGGTACCTGTAGCCAGCTCCTGAGCCTGACACCGGGGGCCTGCAGCCCTCGGAGCCCTTTTCCCAGGGAAGCTGCCCCGAAGTTCGGGAGCCTGAGCTCGGCAGGAGCAGCTTGTGCAGCGGTGCCATGGGGCGAGCTGGCAGGTAGACAGCTGGCGGGATTACGCCGGTGTTTATCACATTATAGGGATACATAAAGGCCACTGAGATCAGGGCCCTGCGTGTTCGGCCTGACACAGAGCAGAGGACGGGGCTTGCCCTAAATAGCTTAAGCCTGAGGCTGAATCAAGAGCTCTGGCTGCTGTGGGGGCTGGCGGCTCCCTGCTCAGTGAGCAATGCTTGGGGCACAGCGCGGGGTGCAGGAGGCAATTGCTTGGCTAGGTCAGGCCCCTTCTGCCCTGACCAGCATCTTCTTGCCTTCCCCAGCCCATCTTGGCCATGGGCAAGAGGGTGTTGATGAGTGCGAGGCCTCTGGGTCTTGGGGGAGCCCCCGCGTTGGTGGTGCCCCCTCCCTACTGTGGTGCGCCCTCTTGACGGAGCCATCACTTAGAATCATAGAATCATAGAATAGTTAGGGTTGGAAAGGACCTTAAGATCATCACTTCTGCTCCCTCCTCTTCTCCACCACTTGCACCAAGTGCTGCCTGGTGAAGACCCAGGGGAGGAAACGCCTGCAGGCTTCTTGTCATTGCAAAGGCCACTTTGGATCAAAGAGTTGCCCTGAAGTCACCTTTGAAGACTTGGGGTCTTTACCCACAACCGGGGCTGGGGCTAACGGAGCATCCAAAGGTGGGAGCTGGGTTTGCTTCTCGAGGCACCCATAAAGCCTTGGAGCCCAGTGAGTCCACCAAGCTGACGCAGGAGCAATCTCGGGCCTTGTGAAGCAAAGTGTGTCCATGTGTTTGTGTGAGGAATGAAAACATCCCAGCCACATTTGCATGTGAATGGGGATGCTGGGTTAACACCAATCAGCTGCTGCCCAGTGTCTCTTGGCCTTGCCTCCAAAGCCTCTGAGCTTGTCCGCTCCCAGAGAAAGGAGGTGGATTGAGGGGTCCTGCAGGCCCAGTGCCCATGAGTAGCCCCTTTGGGGTTAGATATGTTCCTCCCACCTTCCCTGTGGTGATGGCGCTTCCCTACCCTTGCTTGGCTGCTGCCTGGCTCCCCCATGCTGCAATCCCAACAGCTTCAGTGGCCCCAGGTCAGAAGAGGGGGCAGCAACAGCTGTGCTGCAGCCCTCCCTTCCCACACGCATGGGGTGATGTTTGCTCTCCCAGACCCACCGGTGCAGAGCTGCTCCTCCCCACACACGTGTGTCCCAGCCGAGCAGCAGCATCAGTCATGCGTGTGGGCAGGCACGTGTGCATGTCCTGCGCGCCCGTCTCTCCACACTGCATTGAACTCGGGGTTGCTTCTAACCCACTGTCTCCTGCCTCTCCCTGCTTCTCCCACCCCCTGTGCTCCGCCCCTGCAGGTTCTACTGGGACCTCATCATGCTGCTGCTGATGGTGGGGAATCTGATCATCCTGCCCGTGGGCATCACCTTCTTCAAGGATGAGAACACCCCTCCCTGGATCGTTTTCAACGTGCTGTCGGACACTTTCTTCTTGGCTGACCTGGTGCTGAACTTCCGGACAGGCATCGTGGTGGAGGACAACACAGAGATCATCCTCGACCCGCACACCATCAAAATGAAGTACTTGAAGAGCTGGTTCCTGGTTGACTTCATCTCCTCCATCCCGGTGGATTACATCTTCCTCATCGTCGACCTGGAGACGCAGGTGGATTCTGACGTGTACAAGACAGCGCGGGCACTGCGCATCGTGCGCTTCACCAAGATCCTCAGCCTCCTGCGCCTGCTGCGCCTCTCGCGCCTCATCCGCTACATCCACCAGTGGGAGGAGGTGAGAGCCCCTTGGGGACCACGGCCACTGCTCAGGGCCTCGCGATGGGGACCCTTGGCTGTGGGGTACGGCTGGTTGGAGTGTCATAGCATCATAGAATGGTTTGGGTTGGAAAGGACCTTAAGGTCATCCAGTTCCAACCCCCTGCCATGCGCAGGGACACCTCACACTAAACCATGCCACCCAAGGCTCTGTCCAACCTGGCCTTGAACACTGCCAGGGATGGAGCATTCACAACCTCCCTGGGCAACCCGTTCCAGTGCCAGTGTCTCTGTAGCTCCAACTCCTGCCTCTTCTGCAGATCTTCCACATGACATACGACCTGGCCAGCGCTGTGGTGAGGATCTTCAACCTCATCGGCATGATGCTGCTGCTGTGTCACTGGGACGGCTGCCTCCAGTTCCTGGTGCCCATGCTGCAAGACTTCCCCGAGGACTGCTGGGTCTCCATCAACCACATGGTGGTGAGTGTGCCAGGCAGGGGTGATACCAGCCGTGTAGGGAGGAGAGGGTTTGGTCGCACATCCTGTGCTCGAAGGCTGGAGCTGCTTGGATCTATGCGCTCAGAGCAGCATCCCTCTTCTAGTCCCAGCAGTGGCCTGGGGCGGAGGGAATCTCTGCATCACCCTCCTGTCTCAGCCTGCTGTGGCTGCTGCTGGGGTTGGTGGGGCTGGAGGGCTGAGCCCCACAGCTCCTTCCAGCAGCCCCCAGCCCCGCTGTTCCTGGCCCGCAGAACGACTCCTGGGGGAAGCAGTACTCGCACGCGCTCTTCAAGGCCATGAGCCACATGCTCTGCATCGGCTACGGGCAGCAGGCACCGGAGGGCATGACCGACGTGTGGCTCACCATGCTGAGCATGATTGTGGGCGCCACGTGCTACGCCATGTTCATCGGCCACGCCACCGCCCTCATCCAGTCGCTGGACTCGTCCCGCCGCCAGTACCAGGAGAAGGTCAGTGCGATGGGCGCTGGGTGCCTGAGCACGGGGCAAAGGTGGGTCCCTGCCCTGCAGGTTCCTGCCCTCATCTCTGTCGCTCACCCGGAGGGGTGTTCGGGGGCACCAGGCTGCCCATTCACAGAGAGATGCCCCATGTGGAGTGCTGGGGGTCACCTCAGCATAGTGAGGCCCCATCCTGGCCTCTGCCCCGGGGCCCTCTGCATCCTGAGGGCACAGGGTTCTGTTCTCTGCCCTTGACATCAGGTTGGATCTAAGGCAGAAGCTCTTCCCTGTGAGGGTGCTGAGGCGCTGGCACAGGGTGCCCAGAGAAGCTGTGGCTGCCCCATCCCTGGCAGTGTTCAAGGCCAGGTTGGACACAGGGGCTTGGAGCAAGCTGCTCCAGTGGAAGGGGTCCCTGCCTGTGGCAAGGGGTTGGAACTGAATGAGCTTTAAGGTCCCTTCAACCCAAACCAGTGATGCTATGATTTTTTGACATGGCTTTTGGGGGGGTCTGGAACCCAGCCCCGCAGTGCGGCTTGGCTCACCCTGTGCAGCTCTGCCTTGTCCCCACAGTACAAGCAAGTGGAGCAGTACATGTCATTCCACAAGCTGCCTGGGGACACTCGCCAGCGCATCCACGAGTACTACGAGCACCGCTACCAGGGCAAGATGTTTGACGAGGAAAACATCCTGGGGGAGCTCAGCGAGCCGCTCAAAGAGGTATGGGCAGGCACCCACTGCCGGTGCCTCGGGTGCTTGCCGGGGCCGGGCTCGGCGATGTCCCTGTTGGTGACGCGCTCCTCAACCCCGCAGGAGATCATCAACTTCAACTGCCGCAACCTGGTGGCCAACATGCCCCTGTTTGCCAACGCCGACCCCAACTTTGTGACAGCCATGCTGACCAAGCTGCGCTTCGAGGTCTTCCAGCCCGGGGACTTCATCATCCGCGAGGGCACCGTCGGCAAGAAGATGTACTTCATCCAGCACGGGGTGGTCAGCATCCTCACCAAGGGCAACAAGGAGACAAAGCTGTCTGATGGCTCCTACTTTGGGGGTGAGGCTGAGCTGGGCTGCCTGGGGAGCAGGGGGAAACAAGAGCTGCCAGGGAGCAGGAACTGGGGCATCCAGCTCACGCTGGGCTCTGGGGCTCACAATTCCACCACCGCTGCTCTCATGGGGTACCTTGTCCAGCAGATTGAGTCAGAGGGACCAGAACTGTGTCTGGCTTGGGCAGAGGGGGCATCACCCCACATCTGGCCGGAAAGGAGGGAGGTTTAGAGCTGAGCATCTGAGCCAGTTGGTATCTGGGAGAGCAGCCATGGCCAGCGGTGTCTCCATGGCCTGGATGAGGACACAGCGTGTCCAGGCTCCAGGGTCTGTCCCTCGTCCTGAGTCACAGTTTCTGTGCAGGCTGTGGGAGTGCCAGGCAGTCCGGTCCCCATTCCAACTGCCCTTATCTGGAGACATCGTTGGGAAGGGGATATATGGAAGTGGCCAGGGCCAGGTTGGATGGGGCTTGGAGCAAGCTGCTCTAATGGAAGGTGTCCCTGTCCCTGGCAAGGGGTTGGAGCTGGATGAGCTTTAAGATCCCTTCCACCCAACCCGTTCCATGGCTCTATGGATGCATCATCCCGACCCCCAAACCTGTGTCCCTGCAGAAATCTGCCTGCTGACACGGGGCCGGCGCACGGCCAGCGTGCGCGCCGACACCTACTGCCGCCTCTACTCCTTGTCCGTGGATAACTTCAACGAGGTGCTGGAGGAGTACCCCATGATGCGCAGGGCCTTCGAGACCGTGGCCATGGATCGGCTGGACCGCATAGGTGAGGGGTGACCCTGGGCCCAGCACAGCCACCCATGAACCATGGCACCCCAGCCCCATGGGTGATGGCACTGCAGCCCTGTGGGTACCCCGCAATGAGGATGAGGGGGAGCACAGGGAAGGAGCCTGCCTCCAGCATCCCTCTCTCTCCCAGAAAGACCCAGGCAATGCTGTATGACAGGGGGGCTGTCACCCACTCCCTTATCCCATCTTTGCACTGGCATTGCCCAGCTGCTTGTCCTCACCCCCCTCACCTGCAGAGGACAAAGCAGGACCACGGCCCCCAGCCTCCAGCCTGCAACCTTTGGAGCTGGGACTCCCCTGGTTTGTCCCTGCTTCCCCCTCTGCTCCAGCCCAAACCCTCCCCAGGGCCACAGGGGTGAGGCTTTACGGTCCCTTCCCCACCGCCGCTCCCAGTGACGCTGCTGCCTCCACCCCAACCCAGGGAAGAAGAACTCCATCTTGCTCCGCAAGCGTGCCGAGCACAGCTCGGGGCCCATGAACAACGAGATGATCCAGCAGATCGTGAAGCACGACCAGGACATGGCGCACAACATCCAGGACCTGCAGCAGATGGCCATGGGCCGGGAGCTCAGCGGCAAGCCGGTGATCTGGGAGCCGCTGGTGCACGCCCCGCTGCAGACGGCGGCCGCCACCACCAACGTGGCCATCGCCTTGACCCACCAGCACAGCCTGCAGGCGCACATCTTCCTGCCGCCCTCCTCCATCGCCAGCCCGCTCTCCCCCGAGGCCACGCTGCTCGCCAAGCCCGTGCGGCGCTCCCAGCCCAGCCTGGGGGGCTCCCGGCCCTCCTCCATGAGCTCCCCGTCGGCGCCGCAGTCCCACCTCCAGACGCCCGCCGCCGGGTCCCCGTCCTCGCCCATGGTGCAGCCGCTGGAGGGCTCGGGGCAGAGACCCAGCCCCGGGGCACCGGCGCTTCCGCGTCCGGCGCCCAAGGGGGACCCCGCGGCCAAGCAGCCCCCGGCCGGCCCCCAGCCGCAGCTCTCCCGGTCCCGCGGCGCCTCGGTGTCCACGTCGCTGCTGCAGCAGGCGGCCGGGGCCCCGTCCCCCAGCTCGGAGCAGGCGCTGCCGCCCGGGAGAACGCTGCACTACAGCCTGTCCCGAGCCACCGGCTCCCACATCTCGCTCCTGATGCAGCCGCAGCAGCTGGTGAAGCACCGGAGCATCCAGGGCCTGCCGGTGGGGCGGCTCACCCAGGACGTCCGGCTCCTCTCCGCATCCCAGCCCTCCCTTCCCAACAGAGTGGCCCAGCAAGGCGACGGCAGCTCCCTGCAGCAGGGCAGGAAGTCCGCGGGGAGCCTGGCCCGCCGGTCCTCGCCCTCGGTCGCCGGGCTCCTGGCCAAGCCGTGCCCGGGGCTGCCAGCCCAGCACTCGCAGCAGATGCCTTCAGGATCGCTGGCTCAACCCAGCCGCACCGTGGCCGGGGCATCCACGCCGCAGTCCCCGGTGTCCGCGTCCCGGCAGGCAGCAGGTCCCTCCCGCAAGGGCTCCGTGGCCTTCAGCCCCGAGGTGGAAACGGGGAAGCCCAAACTCCAGTCCAACATGTGAGTCCCGGGTACAGGCAGGAGGGAGCCGGGCACCCGGCGGCACAGGCGGGGAGGGAAGACGAGGTGAGAGGCGGCACCGTGGCTGTGGACCGGCTGCTCCGGGTGTGGGGCAGCCCCTGGGTGAGGAGGGGGCTCTGCCGACTGCCCCGTGGGTCCCACCCGGGCTCTCCCCTTGCTCCATCACCACCCACCCTCCTCCTGGAGGCAGCAGGACGGGTCAGAGCCCTCGCCCGACTCCTGGGGAGCCATCTCCCCACAGCTGCTCCGTGGGGTCCGTGCCCCACCGTGCTCTGCCCTCACTCCCCACTGCCCCTCCTTGGGGCCAGGCCAGTGCTGGGGTCTCCTCCAGCCTGTCCTGTCACAGCAGGGGCTGCCACGCACCCTCCTCGGTCCCCAGACAGCTCTGCCAGCACCTTTGCTTTGGGGAGAGGAGGGAGAGGCCCCAGTGCTGGGGCAGAGTGAGGGGTCCGGAGCCCATGGCAGGAGCCAGGTCCCCCTCTCTGAGGCCCTGGACACAGTGCCCAGACCCGGGGGTCCCAGGCGGGGTCCCAGGCAGGGTCCCTCTGGGGTGACGAGTGCCAGGCAGCAGAGCTGGGGGCAGATGGGCCTCTCCCCAGCCTGGGGGAGCATCTTGCCTCCATCAAGGGGTCCAGGTGCCGTGACCTAGCCCCTCTCCATGCTCCATCAAGGGGGCAGCCCTGGGGTGACCCCGCTGCCTGGGGGGATGCTCAGCCTGGGTTCTACTCCCTCCCTGCGCTGTGGTCCCAGTTGCAGGCACCGCAGCGAGCATGAGGGTGTCTGGAGGAGATGCAGCGCCCAGGTGAAGCGTGGGGCTGTGGAGCTGCCTCCCCTCACCCTTCTGGGTCTCTGTTTTGGGGGGCAGGAGCCTGGGTTCCCCATGGCCAACCCACACCACCCCTCGGGAACCAGTAGTCAGCAATGTGTGTTCAAGCTGTGGCTCTGCCCAGCCGCTGAGCTCTGCTTGCAGTGTCGCTTTGGGCCACCCGTGTTACCAGTCCTGGTTAAAGTAGTGTGTATCCCCCCCCCGTCCCCACCACGCTGCGCAAGCTGCTTCCCACTACCGGGGTCAGGAACCATGGCTTGTAGTTGTGCTCTGGGGCCTGGCTGCCACCGAGCAGGGCCCCCGTGCAGCGGGCGAGGGCCTTGTTCTACGTGGTCCTTTCTCAAAGTGAGGTCTTCAGTTCCCCCCCCCCCCATCGCGTTTTGGGACGTCGGGACCGGTGCAGCCCGCAGGGCACCGCAGCCCGGCCGGGATCCCGCCAGCGCGTCCAGCGGAGGGGATGTCCAGCACTGCCTTCTTCCCATGGACCTCAGCTCTCCCCTGCCCGCATCCCGCTCCATCCCCATGGTCGGTGTGTCCCCGGCAGCCCCTCGGGAAGGGGTCTGCGGCGGGGCCGTGTAGTCAGGCGTCCCCAGGCTGTGTGCTGTAGATGTGTTAACCCATCCTTAGGTGTCCCCGCAGAGCCCGCGGGCTGGCCCGGACGGCACCGAGCTCAGCTCTGCCCCCGTTGCGGCCAGAGCCACCCCCGGTGTGGAGGCAGGAGGGGCCGCCGGGGGTGCTGGTGTCTCTGCGGCGTGCGCGGGCACAAGTCTAAGGCACCAAAGACCACGCTCCTCCACTCGCACTCACGGCAGTCCATGTACAGAGCTTGTAGTTTTCATATCGCAGAGGATTTAAAAGCGTTTTTTTATTTTTGGTCGTTGTACATAATGGATTTAAATAATAAAGAGAGATTCCGAGCTGGTTCTGGGGGAGCCTCCTTTGGGGCCGGCACCCCCAGCACCCTGCCTGCCCGCGGGGATGGGATGGGGCAGGGGGATGCTCTGCGGATCCAATCCCCGTGCTCTGTGGAGCATCCTTGGGTACCCATTGAGGGGCCTCTCCCCGGCCCCCCAGCCCCGGGCCGTTCAGTGGGAGCCCTCTCCTGCCCACCCCGTCCCCTTTAGGCCCTGGGGAGATTAATGTTTAATCTGCAGTTACTTTCCCCTTCCATTTCTTACCGGGAGGGGGGTGGGGAGGTTTGATACCGCCTGATTGCGGAGCAGACTCTGGGCATTAACTAGATTAAATGAAGGTCGTGCAGTGCGAGATGGGCTGCTGGTGGCACAGAGCCCCCGCCACGGCCACCCGCAGGGCCCTGCAGCAGCCCCTGCCCTCCCACCAGCAAGACTTAGGCTCTGTGACACAACGATGCGATCAGAGCTGATTAGCAGTTTCTTTCTAATTTGATTATTTCAGCTTACACCGAAGCCATCCTGATTATGAGCCTGTGTAGCCAACAGTCCCCTGCCCCAGCACCCTGCTGGAAGGCTGGGATGTGCTGCCAGAGCCTGGCTCTGCCACTGCAGAAAGGGAAAAGAGCTTTTTCCTAGAAGCACAATCCCAGCCTCTGCATCCCTGCTCGGGGCTGCTCGGGCACCCAGGGCACCCGGGGGCAGGAGGAGCAGAAGGGACCACAAGGCTCTGCAAGGGCACCCGGGGCTGGCTCGTCCCCAAGCCCCCGCGTTGCCGGCTGTAGGGGTGGGGGGGGGATTAGCAGGCCGCAAAGCAGAGATTAATTAACCCGGGGTTAGCGGGGATTAGGGGATCGCAGCAGACAAAGCACAGATCGGCAATCAGCGGGGCCCGGAGGGAGCCGCGGTGCCCTTCGCTGTGCCCGCCACTGACTGAGGCCTCGGCCCAGGTGGGTGATGGGGACCCTGCCCTGTCCCTGGCTCCGGGGTTCTCTCCTGTGCACAAAGGTGTGGGGTGCACCCCCTGCACTGCACCCCTCACGTTAACACTGCACTGCACCCCCTGCACTGCACCCCTCACGTTAACACTGCACTGCACCCCCTGCACTGCACCCCTCACGTTAACACTGCACTCCCTGCACTGCACCCCTCACGTTAACACTGCACCCCCTGCACTGCACCCCTGCACTGCACCCCCTGCACTGCACCCCTCACGTAACACTGCACAAGCTGTCCTGCGTCCCCTCATGCATCCCCCATGCATCCCCCCATGCACTCCTAGCTGCCTGCACCCTCATTACCCCCCAGCTGCCCGCACCCCCTGTGCACCCCCTATGCACCCCCAGTTCCCATGCACCCCCCCATGCACCCCGATCTGTCCGCATCCCCCGTGCACCCCGCGCCCTCCTCCGCAGCCTCGCCCCGCGCCCCCGCGCCTCGGCCGAGCCCTCGCTCCATTCGCTCCCTCCACCAATCAGCAGCATCGGGCCCGCCTTCCGCGCGCTTCTATTGGCTCAGCCTTCCCGGACTTATCCTCATGCGATGGAGCGGACCAATGAGCGCGGGCGCCCCGGCTGAGGCAGGGCGCTGGCTCCGCCCCGCGCGGGGCACGCCGGGAGTTGTAGTCCTGCGGCGGAGGCGGCTCCGGCTGCCCCCGGGGCTGCGGGACTGCGCTTCCCGGCGACCCCCGCGCGGGGCGGAGGGACCGGACGGGGCGGGACGGGGCGGGACGGGACGGGACGCGGCGCCCCTGGGGGCCGCCGGGGCTGCGGCGTGGATCGGGAGCGCTGCGGGCACCATGAGCGGCGGCGGGGAGCGGGAGGAGTTCATGAGCTTCTTCCCGCAGATCGTGCGCGACCTGACCGAGGGCGGCCTGGGGCACCCCGAGGTGGGCGATGCTGTGTCCCGCTTGAAGGAGGTGAGCAGGGCGCGGGGGGGGGGTCCGGCTCCATCCCCTGCCCGTCCTGTCCGAGGCTGCCCGTTCCCGTCTGCCCGCAGGTGCTGGAGTACAACGGGGCGGGCGGGAAGTGCAACCGGGGCATGACGGTGCTGGCCGCGTACCGAGAGCTGGCGGGCCCCGGGCAGCAGGGTGCGGAGAGCCTCCGGTGCGCCCTGGTCGTCGGCTGGTGCATCGAGCTGGTGAGAGCCGGGACGCGGTGGGTCTGGGGGTGCACACCCTCCCCCCCCGGGACCCCCCTGCCCCTAACCCGGCCTCTCGCAGCTCCAGGCGTTCTTCCTGGTGACCGACGACATCATGGACGCGTCCCTCACCCGCCGGGGGCAGCTCTGCTGGTACAAGAAGGTGAGGGCGTTGGGAGGCCCCTGTCCCCGGGGAGGTGCGGGGGGGTCAGGGTGTTTTGTGACCCCTCCCTACCCGCCCGGTGCAGGAGGGGATCGGTCTTGATGCCATCAATGATGCCCTCCTCCTGGAGTCCTCCGTCTACCGGCTGCTGAAGAAGTACTGCGGGGAGCATCCCTACTACGTGCACCTCCTGGAGCTCTTCCTGCAGGTGAGCCCGGTACCCTGGGATCTGCCCTTCCTGGGCACCCTGCCCTTCGCACTGGGAGAGGAGCTGAAACCGGGCTGGGGTTTGGGGGTTTCACTGCACTGTTGGGACTCTGCTGGGGGGCTGAACAAATTCCCCCGTTCCTCTTCAGACTGCCTACCAGACGGAGCTGGGGCAGACGCTGGACCTCATCACTGCTCCTGTTTCCCAGGTGGATTTGAACCGCTTCAGTGAGCAGAGGTAAGGAGGTGATGGAGGTGTGGCAGCGCAGCTCTGCTCGCGGTCCCTTCCACACGGTGTAGGAGGGATAACATCGTGCCAAGCTCTGCGGAGCAGGTCTTGCTCGTGCTGTTGGAGCTTGCGGGCTGGATTGAAGGGAGACGCTGGTCCTGGTCTGCAGAGCCCTCTTGGGACGCCCTGGCACTGAGCAGGGTTCCTCTGCCACAGGTATAAGGCGATTGTGAAGTACAAGACGGCGTTTTACTCCTTCTACCTGCCTGTGGCTGCTGCCATGTACATGGTGAGTCCTTGGTCACTGTCCTAGGACTTGCCCTTGCTGTCAAGGAAGGCAGGAGCTTTGGGAGATGCGAAAGGGTGGAAGGCAGGTACTGGAAGGCTTCATTCTTTTTTTCCGTCCTTAGGCTGGTATTGACAGCAAGGAGGAGCATGACAATGCCAAGGCCATCTTGCTGGAGATGGGTGAATTCTTTCAGATCCAGGTAGGTGCTGCTTCCCTGTCCCTTAGTGCTTGTAAGGTGCTGGTTGTGGCACTCATGTGCTCCCATCTCCATGCAGGATGATTACCTGGACTGCTATGGAGACCCAAAGGTGACAGGGAAGGTTGGCACTGACATCGAGGACAATAAGTGCAGCTGGTTGGTGGTGCAGTGTCTGCATCGGGTCACACCAGAGCAGAGGCAGATCCTGGAGGTAACGCCACCAGGTTCACAACCCCCTGAAGGAGGGGAGATGTGGTGTAGAGGGGCTGTAGTGCCCTGTTGTACACCCTGCAGCCTGGTTGTTGTGAGTGGTTGGGGCAGTAGCGGGGATGACAAGAGGTGACTCCTGCTACCCTTTGAAGGACCAGCTATGGCCGGGGCCAGATGCTGGACCTCAGCCTGACTTGGCCTGGTGTTTCCTCAGGAGAACTATGGCCGTAAGGAACCTGAGAAGGTGGCAAAGGTGAAGGAGCTCTATGACACCCTGGGCATGAGGGCTGCTTTCCAAGAGTACGAGGAGAGCAGCTACCAGCGCCTGCAGGAGCTGATCCGCACACACAGCCACCGCCTGCCCAAGGCCATCTTCCTTGGCCTGGCTCAGAAGATCTACAAGCGGCAGAAGTGATGGTGGGGCTGCCCCTCCACTGCTTCGCCTCTGCTGAAGGGGGCTGGTGGCCATTGGGGTCTGCCCCCGGCTGGAACTGATGCCTGCCCCCCTGCCCCGTGGGGTGGGATCCGGGGCTGGTTGTGAACCGGGTTTTGGGGTCGGAGGCGGGGTTTGAATCGCGGTTGTCAATAAAGGTTAAGTTATTGATTACCCCAGTCCCCAACCGTGATTGCGGCTGCAGCGCTGCCGGGTGGGGGCTGGAGCCGGGGCTGGATGGGGCGGGGGGGGGCACAGGCGGCTCCTCCGGCTGCAGGGGCTCGGGGTGGGGGGGGCCGCGGCGCCACCGCCTCCTCCCGGTCGGGGCGGGCCCGGTCCCGGGGCGGCTCCGGGGCGGGGCCGGGGCCGCGGCTCCTCCTCCCTCCGCAGTCGCCGCCGCAGCGCGAGGTGAGCGGGGCTGGGGCCGGGCGGGGGGTTCGGGGCGGCCTCACCCCTGCGGCCGCGGCGGCTCCAGCGCAGGGGCCGGGGGATGCTCAGCGCTGCGCGGCCGCTGCCGGGCGGTGCCCGAGGCCGCACCGGGCGAGGGGGGGGCTGCGGGAGGGCGGGCGGCTCCCCCCCGGGACCGGGGGTCCTGCCGCGGCCTTGCAGCCCCGGCGCTGCCGCCGCCCCTCGGCTGGGCCCGGCTCCGACCCCGGTGGGGGTTCAAGGGCGTTTCCTCCTCGGTGGCATCCGCGGGTGCTCCTCACCTCTGGGCGGGATCCAGCCCCCCCTGCGCTGCCCGCTGCTCCCCCGCACCGCGCTCGGGAGTCGCCCACCAGCCCCTGCCCGGCGCAGACCCGGGCGCAGGGGGGAGCTGTGGGGCTGCCCCTCGCTGCTGGGCACGTTCCCATCTCGGAACCCAGGGGCCCCACACCGACCCCCTGCATCCGGCCCTTCCCTGCTCGGGGGCTGCCGCAAGGTCACCGTCATCCCTCCCGCCCCGTCTGCTCCTCTCCAGGTTCGTGCTCTGCGCTCTCCCCTGCCCGCTGAAGGGGTGCTCGCTGTCTGCAGGGAGCTGCATGGTCTGAAGACAGGAGCTGTGGGGCTCTCCGAGGAGCCCCAGCACCACCAGTGAGGCAGCACCATGTTGGCTCCGAAGAAAGGCCTCCTGTGCAACCTCAACCACATCCATCTGCAGCACATCTCCCTGGGGCTGCACCTCTCCCGGCACCCGGAGCTCCAGGAGACTTCTGGCTCCACGGGTGGAGGGGACCAGACCGGCTGCAGCGACTGCGCGGAGAACTGCGAGCAAGTGGATGCCAATTCCAACAATCCCTCCCTGAAATGCCGGTGTTGCGAGTCCCATCCTCAGCAGGCAGTGACGCTGGGTCTCCAGAACCAGACAGCTCAAGAGGATTTCCCCTGCCTGCACGCTGGGGAGGAGGTGGCTTCCCCTTGTGATCTGGCTTCCTCCTCCTCCTCTTCATCCTCCTCCTCTGTCAGTAGCTGCTCGGATTTCAGCTTGGATGACTCCCCAGTCTCCGTGTACTGCAAAGGGTTCCCCAGAGAAGAGCCTCGACCCCTCGAGAATCCGCCCAGCGTCATTCCCACAGAAGATGCCCAGGATGCGCAGTCGCTTGGTGACCAGGGTGGGACGTGTGATGGAAGAGATGCCAACCTCAACCCGCCGGTGCCCCAGAGACCGGCCCCGCTGACCAGAGGGAGCCCGGACAGCCTCCGCAGCAGCAGCTCGCTCGACTCCCGGTATGATGAGACCTCCCCCAGCGTGAGGGATGGCACCGGCATCAGCACCGACCTCGACCCCAACTGCAACCCGCTGCCCGAGGCTGACTCTGCCCCCCCGGCACCGCCTGTACCGGGGCGCAGGGATCCCGCTCTGAGCCGAGCTCCGGAGCTGCGGCCCCGGGCTGGAAGCATCCCCCCACCAGTGCCCCCCCGGCCCCGGAGGCGCCTGCAGGTTCTCAATGGGCACAGAGCAGAGCAGCCACCTCTGCCTGCGCGGCCGCTGGAGCTGGAGCCCGGCTCGGGAGACCTCTGCAGAGACGTGGGCAAGAAAACCATCACCTCCTTCCACGAGCTGGCCCAGAAGAGGAAGAGGAACGGCGCTGGGCCTGCTCCTGCCCAGGCCAGGGCTGACCGCAGCGACTGGCTCATCGTCTTCTCACCGGACACGGAGCTGCCTCCCCCCAGCGAGCTCCTCTCCAGCACCACGGGCCAGGAGCCGGCCCGGCCCCAGCTCCAGCCCGAGCCGCCACCGAGGCCCCCCGGCTCCAGGCAGCGCGAGGTGACCACGTTCAAGGAGCTGCGGTACCGCAGCGCCTCCAACAAGGCCAAGGGGCAGGCAGCGGGCGAGCGGGCAGAGCCGGCGGCATCGCAGCATCCCCCCGCGCTCCCGGAGGCGGCCTTGGGCAGCGGCAGCGCAGGCTGGGTGCCCCCGGTGCCGCTGGGGGGGCAGCTGCTGGCACCCATGGACGGCCACCAGGTGAAGAGGAGGAGACCCCGGCCGGGGCTGCTCCCCATCGCGGAGGGGCAGCCCGGGGACGCTGAGGAAGCGGGGCCGCCGCTGCAGAGCGCCCTTCCCGAGGAGAACGGGGCCGCGATTCGGAGGCTCAGGGGACCCGGCGGCGCCCCGCGGGTGCCCGGGGCAGGCGAGAGCGGGGCCGGGCCCCGCAAGGACGGTAAGAGCTGGGGTCCTGCGCGGGCGCGGAGCCGGGCTGGGGGAAGGACGGGCCCCGAACCCCCCCGGGGGCCGCCCCGCCGCCTTCCCCCGCCCCGTTCCGGGCCGCGGCGGGGCCCGCCCCAGCCGCTGCCCTTCGCCCCGCCGCGGCCTCCGGCTCCATGGGCGAGCGCGGCCCGGCAGGGCCCGGCCCCGGTAACCGCCTCCCCCCGGCAGCGCCTGACGCCGCCGCGCTCCCCGCAGCCAAACCCCCGCCGTCCGCCGCTGGAGCCGCCGCGGGCCCGCCCGGAGCGGGGAGCACGGAGGGAGCCCGCGGGGAGCAGATGAGAGGTAACGGCCGCGGGCTCCGGTGCGCGGGGGGAGGCCGGGGTCGGCAGCGGCCGGAGCGGGGCCGCGGGCAGGGGCTGCGACCCCGCCCCGTGGTGGAGCCGGGGAGCGGGGGCGCGGCGCTGCCGGTCCCCGCCCTCGCCTCCATCCTGGCCCGGTCCCCTGGGAGCCGCGGGTCCTTCATCCCGGCACGGTTCCCATGGCAACAGCCTGGATGCTCCTTGCGCCTTCCCAGCGCTCCCCTGTGCCTTGGTGTCCGGAGCTGCGGCTGGCGCCCAGCACACGGGGGGGCTCCGGGCTCAAGCGCTCGCTGAAGCCGGGTCATGGGGAGCTGCTCCTCACCCAACGCCCCCAAGTCCTCCTCGGGGCTGCTCCGAGTCGTTCTCCCTGACACCTTCCCTTCTGCTGCCCCCCAGCCCTGCTCATCGCCATCAGCGCCGCCGTGGATAAGGTCATTGCCCACTTCAGCTCCGCACGGAACCTGGTGCAGAAGGTGAGGCTCTGGGCTGGGGTGGGCAGGAGGGGCCTGGGGGCCTCCAGGGGCTTCCTCCCTCCCTGCAGGCTCGGGGGTAGGCGCTGCCGTTCCCTTCCTCTCCTCTCCCTGTGCTCCAGGCCCAGCTGGGTGACAGCCGGCTCAGCCCTGATGTGGGGTACCTGCTGCTGCACACGCTGTGCCCTGCGCTCTACGCCTTGGTGGAGGACGGGCTGAAGCCCTTCCAGAAAGACGTTATCACCGGCCAGAGGAGGAATTCCCCATGGAGCGTGGTGGAAGCCTCCGTGAGGACAGGTCTGTGCGGGGCTCCCGGAGCTGGGGGCATCTCGGGGAGCCTGGGATGCTTCCCCAGCCCGGGCTGGGGGGATCGGGGCCCGGAGCGGTGACCGTTGCGTTCCACAGGCCCCGGTGCCCGCTCCTTCCACTCGCTGTACGGGCGCGTGGCCGGGCTGGCCCCGCTCCACAGCACCCGGCAGAAGTTCCATGCCTTTATTCTGGGCCTTTTGAAGTGAGTTCCGGCCCCGCTGGCCCCTGCTGCTGGTTGGGACGGAGTCCCAGGAGCTCTAACGTGGGTTCCCTTTGCCTTCTTTAGCATTAAACAGCTGGAGCAGTGGATTTCCCACCTGCAGAAGAGCCCAGGTAAGGAGACAATGTCCAGAAGCTCCACATCCACGTCCTCTCTTGCTTGCCAGGGTATAATCAGGTACAACATATGAACAGGTCTAACCCCAGGCCTGTCCCACCCGTGGTGCTTGGCTGGGATCTGCATAGTGGAAAAGGGCATCATTTCCATGGTGTGCCTTTAATACAGCTCCCAGCAGAAGCTCCTCTGACCGGCTGGGACAGCCCTGCTGGCCCTGCCAGGGCGCTTTGCACCCTCCAGCACCCTCTGTCTCTCGTAGGTGTCATCTCCGTGCTGTACTCACCCACAGCCTTCTTCGCACTGAGCCAGGGGCCTCTGCCCTACCTCGCTGATGAGCTGCTGCTGCTCATCCAGCCCCTCTCCGTGCTGACTTTCCACCTGGACCTGCTCTTTGAACACCACCACCTCTCCATGGATGTACGGCCCTTGTGCCGCCGGCCGCAGTCACCGCCGTGTCCTGCCCATGGCTCTGCTCCGGGTCCCGGGCAGCGCTCCCTGGGGGGGCTCTGCAGCACCACGGGGGCCAGCCTGGAGGACCAGACCCCCCCGGCTGCCGTGGGGAGGGCAGCGGGCGCAGGGGGCAGCCCAAGGCCCCAGCCCCGCGCTCCTGCGCTGGTCCCTGGTGCCCAGGTCGGGGCCGCTCTGCAGCAGACCCTGCAGCACGTCCTGCGCTGGGGGGACCGCCTCAGCCGCACGCTGCTGGGGGCCGACAGCCTTGGGGATGCTGGGGCTGGTCCCGGGGGGTGGTGGGGGCAGCTGGGCCGGGCCTCCAGGACCTGCTCCGAGCCCAGCGAGGAGAAGCTCCCCTCGGTCTGGTGGACGAAGCTGCGGGCGGCTGTGGCGGATCCCAGCCCTGGCCCGGCTCTGCCGGCCCTGGGGGAGCCCGGCGGCACGGAGCTGCAGCTGCTCCAGACCAAAGCTGTCCCGGAGCTCCCCCCTCCGCAGCCCAGCAGCAGCGCGGGCACCTCCGGATCCTCCTCCCCCGAAGCCCTCATCCTGCCCGCGGGAGCCGGAGCATCCCCTGCGCCGTCTGATCCCGCCGCTGGAGAGAGCCCTCGGGCATCGCCGGGGGCGGATGGGAGCCGGGCAGCGCCTCCCGGGCCCCGCGGCGCTGACGGGGGCCGTTGGCTGGGCCGGCTCTTCGGGGCCCCCAGCCCCTCTGCCAGGACCTTCCCTCCCAGCCCCGATGCAGCCTCAGCGAGGTCCAGGTAAGGCCCCGTGCAGGGCCCCCGTCAGCTCCCGCATCCCCAGACCAGGCTGAGCCTGCGGCTTCTGCTGCGCGCAGGAGACCTTCGAGGTGGCTCTCGCCCGGCGCCCGTGTCCTGGCTGCGGTGGTGAAGGGGCTGGCGGCTGAGAAGAGCCGCGCTCAGGAGCAGGCAGAGGGGACGGTGTCGGACTCACCCCAGCCCTGCAGGTGATGGGGGCACTGCCGTGTTTGGGGCTGGAAAGCTGCCGGGAGGGGGGGTGTGGGGTGTGTGTGTGTCTGGTCCTGGGTCCTGGATGTGATTGAACCCATGGATGGGTTTGAACCTATGGATGTGATCGAACCCGTGGCCCGATGGCAGCTCCTCCATGAGCATCCTGTGGGAGCCTCTCCCAGTGGCGCTGGGGGGTGAGTCCGGATGCTGTTTGCTCTGCAGGGCGGTCCGGGCGCTGTGCGACCACACGGGCACGGCCGACGGGCACCTGAGCTTCCAGAAAGGGGACATCCTGCAGCTGCTCTGCACCGTGGATGAAGACTGGATCCGCTGCTGCCATGGCAACAGCACCGGCCTGGTCCCCGTGGGTTACACATCCCTGATCCTGTGAGGGACCGGCTCCTGCCACGCTCTCACCGCCCTCAGAGCATCCCTCGCTGGCTCTGCTCGCTCGCATGCCCGTACCCTGTGCCACGGCGCTGAGCCCGCGCCACCGCCGTGCCCGGCCCCACCACGGCTCCCATGAGGGACCTGCTCACGCTCCTGTGTCCCCAGCCTGCGGCAGGGCCGGGGAGGTCCCTGTCCCTGTCCCTGCTCCATGCCCCTGCCATTGTGTCCCCCCCACCGCTCTGCCCCGTGCCCGGCAGCCCAGGCCCGGCCGCGCTCTGTCCATGGCTGTACCCAGGGGAACGCGCTGATTCCAGGGGGAAAAGCTGGGAATAAAGGTTGTGACTCACGTGGCTGCATGTGGGGATGGGTCACTGCGGGGGGAAGCTGGTGCTGGGCCTTTGGGGAGCTTCCCTCTCAGCTGAGGGACATCGGATCTTAACGGGAACGGGGTTTGCCTTAAGGGGGCTTGGTTGAGTTCCCCACTGGGCTTGGAAATGGGTTCCTCAGATGGGTTTAAGTAAAGCCAGCTCCTCACCCCTTGGGCTGGTGGCTCTGGTTCAGAAGGGTCTACGGGGCAGGGACCACAGTGGTCCAGGCTGGGGGATGGAGGAAAACCAGGTCACAGGAAAGGGGAGGCATCGAGCAGCGGCTGCATCCAGAACGTGAAGAGTCACAAACACCCCCAGCACCCACCTCTGAGGGCTGCGGCCTCTGCAGGCCCGGAGGGGATGGCTCTGGGTGCCCGGGGCTGCCCCCTGGGAACAGGCACTGAAGCTGCAGGTTTAAGGGTCCAGGTACCCATGGAGGCTGCTGCTCCTGTATCCACGCTGCCACCAGAGCATCAGCATCAACCCAAACCCTCGCAAGCTCCATCACCCATTGGAGAGCCGGGACAAGGACCCCTGGCAAAGCAATGGGAAGAGTGGGACCAAGAGCAAGAAAAGCCCACGAAGGCACCGATAGGAAAAGATTTTCCATTTAATACTAGACTCTCTCAGGATTGAGATGCAGGCTTTTTATGCAATTACATCCAATGTTAAAATTGGTAATACATAATTTACAAAGATTAACATCAAAACAATGATCTATTTAGATATGCTTTGTAAAAAGGAAATATATTAGCAGCATTTATTTTCAGCAATCACACAGCCTACACCCATGCAGACTAAGAGTTCATATCTATTTGCAGTAATGTAGTGCTTCCTGGTCTGAAAACAGCGATCCTGGCGACCCTCCGGTCTTCTCATTATTATAAAATAACCCCAAAATAAAAAAAGTCCTTAATTTCTACACCAGTAAGAAAAAACGAAGTCTTTGCACTTACCTAAGGTTTGATTGTCTAAAAAACATCTCGGTTTAGTCTTTCAACAAAAGAAAGATAAAATGAGAGAGCTCAGGGTGGCGCTTCCGAACGCACTCGGCTTCTTAAAAACTTCTTTCTTTTAGTGTTTAACACCATTGGAGACGATGATTTCGGGGCTGGAACTAAAGGAGACAACTCAAGGGGGGGGACATGCGATATTCCTACTACACGCACGAGTATTTTATACTCAGGGCTCCTGGTTCTGTACAGTGCTTCTCTACAGTAAGAAAATATTCCAAACTATTTCCTTAGGTTTTGTCTTTTTTTTTTCTCTTTTTTTTTTTTAATAAAATATTTGTGGTTTTTATTACTTTTTTTTTCTCAAAGGGTTTTTTTTTTGCCTTTTTTTTCGTGGTTTTTCTTTTTTAATCTCTTTTTGTCCTTTTGAAATCAACACGGAAAAGTTGAATGGAATGAGCCATGTTCCACTAAGAGTAAAATAATCATAGTAACAAGAATGTACATTAGGACGAGCTTGGTCCATTAAAAAGGAACATGTAACTACGGTATTGCTTTACATCCACGCAGCAGATATATACAACTTGGCACATTAAAAACCGGTTTTCTTCGAAGAACATCTAAAACAGGACTGTATCTGCATATGTACGTCGGAAGGACAAAAAAGCAAAGCCATTTCCAAGGGGCAGCATCGCCGACCCCCCCCTCCCTTTGCTCCGTGTCCCGGGGCAGCCCCACTCTCGGGCACGCTGTGGCTTCATGCAGGGAGCAGTGGGGGCCTGGGGGCCGCTCGTGGGGCTGACACCCGCCAGGGCAGAGGGAGGGCGGCGCGGGGAACGCTGGCTCTTCAGCTCGGAGACGGACAGGTTAAGCTGTACAAGCAGAACACGAGGGTAGTGTTAGCAGTTGCTATATCCTACAGGGCACAACAAACACTCGCTGGGAATACTGCTCGACGGTTCATGTAGTGAAGGGTTCCTCTGGTTTTAGGGGGGGCTGCTTCTTTTGAACAGGTTTCCATTTGCACAACACACGAGACACACGAGAACCACAGCTTCTCCAGCCCAGCAGCAGCGACGGCGGCGGCGGGGCCTGACCTGCGTTAGAAAACCTCTGCAGGAAGCAAGCGAGAAAGAGAATCCCCCCCCTCCCCGTTCCACGCCGCACAACAAGGGCCTCGAGCAGCCAACTCCTGCCTGGCTCCCAGGGCGCTCGGGAGGCTGCTCCTTGTCACCCACGGGCGCACCGGCCGCTCCGCGCTGACCCTGTCGCGTCGCCACGGACGCTGCTCTCTGCTTGGAACTTGTGCAAATCGGAGGCCACGGCTCCAGGGCCGCCCTACGCTGGAAGCCACGGGGCCTTCACCCTCCCATCTGACTGCGTTCACTGTCACGGGCCACGGTGGTGCCAGCAGGATCTTGTACAATCACAGGTTAAGTGGTGAACGTGGGGAATATTCTCAGAGTAGCTCAGTCCTTTTCCTTCTCACCTCCCCCATTCCTGTCCTTTTTTACCTCTTTTTTTTTCTTTTTTTTTTCTTTTTTTTTTCCTCTGAGCGGGAATCTCAAGCAAAAATAAATTAAATTTGACCATCCTGGACAATAACCACGAGGTTTTTCTCAGTACCTAACATCAATACAAGGCACGCCCAACAACACACACACCATAAGAGCACTGCAGAGCAGGGCAGGGCAACCTGCCAACCCAGACATCTAAGTGCTAACTGTTTGTATATTTGTCAGTTTGCTGCTGCCCTCTTTTCCTTGGCTGGTGCAGAGGAAGTTGGGCTCCTGCCCTCAGTCCTCAGCAGACCTTGTAGCAGACTCCAGACCACAGCCTCTTCTGGTGGCATCACTTCCTGAAGCTGCTCTCGGGGATGGTCAGAGTTCGCCGCCGCAGTTTTCTTCCTGATCCTTCCTCCAGCAAGTAAGTGACATCAATAGCTGCAACAGAGCACAGGCTTTTGGTAAAGGAAGGTGACAGCAACAACAGTTTTCCCACTTCCCTACTCACGGTTCTTCCAAGGACGTTTCCATCCATAGCAACATTCAAAACTCTACCGGACAAGGTGCTGAGCAACCTGGCTGAAGTTTGGAGTTAGCCTGCCCCGAGTCACGTTTGCACCAGACCATCTCCAAAGACCCTTCCAATCTAACTGATGATTCCGTGAGTACTTTGCGTTAACACCCAGAATACAAAGGAGACTGGACAGAGCTCATCCTAAGCTTTGAATCAAAACCAGACACATTTAACCAGTGCAACCACTGCACCCCAGTTCTGCAGCTTAGACAATGCCTACAGAAGTTACCTAAAACCCAATGGAAAGCTCATGGAAGGTCAAAAGAGACTTTCCAGACTCTCTTCAGTCTCACTGTGTGTCTCTGTTCAGTTTCTGGGGGGAATTTGTCTTCAGAGAGTTTTGGTGTAAGCACAGTGACAGTGGTAGGAAATTTCTTTGGGATTTAGTGGGAATTGCTGCTGTTGCAATAGAAAACATTGCTGCAAAGAAAACTCAGTCCTAGTAATGTCCCCTAGCAATGAGTTCAGCCAAACCCGTTTATTTCATCTCCACAGCCTGCAGTGAACGGAAGACAAGCCTGCAGACACAACACTTCTGAGGGAAATCTCACCGTTTTTCCCTGGGATTTTCTCTAAGAGGTTGAGCAGGATCTGATTCAGTCTCTCCCTCTGAATATGCCGCCTTTCCTCTGGAGTGCAGAGCTGCCTCGTGTCCGAGCTGCTTTCTTCTACCTTCTTCTCAGCTTCACAGCCCTCACCAGAGGCTGCCTCTTTTTCTGACTCCTCTAGGGCAGGCATCTCACTGGAGGGTTGCTCTTGGTTTCCCAATACATCCTCCATCAGTGGAAGAGAATCTTCTTCTTGGTTTAAGTCTTTAATCTGCGGCTTGGAGCGGTCTGTTTTCCAGGATGATCTAGAGGGAAAGAAGGGTTTAACAACTGCAGTTTTCCAGATGGAAAGGTCAGTTACCAGTGAGCCAAGGACCTGTCAGCAGCCAGGGTGGGTTCTGGAATCTCAGTCACTTGACTTACTATGTACATTCAAACCCTTAGTGCAGGAAGGCTGGCTGCTCTTTGTCCTGGGATCTGCCATCTCCCACATTCAGCTGCTTTTGCTACCTTTCAAAACAGCTTCCGTACTCTTCCTTACCTCCATTATTAAGGAACACTAACACTGCTTCTACATTCTGTCCTTCCTCACCTGTTCCCTCTTTATCTCTTCGTTTAGAGAGATTGCTTTATATAATTTAAACTTCTTATTTCCATAGCACCCAGAGGAAGTGGGTACGGAAAAGAGTGGACACTTGACAGACAGGATGATCTCACCTCTTCTGAATGAACAATCTGGTAGGTAAGACTCACCTGCCTCCATTTCTCTTGTAGTTGTCTGGTACATAATGAGGCTGCAAGAACAGTAAAGAGTATGGTTAACACCAAAGAAAATTCACAGTGGAAGAATGTGACACAGCCAGCCTGACCAGCTCACATGGGCCTGGGTGTTGTGTGAGGCTCTAAAACACATCAAATACTTGTACAGTCCCAGAATTGTGACCAAAAAGTGAGTTTTAAGATTTCCTTCACTCAGGAAGCGAAGTTTGGCAGAGTTCAAGGCCAGGCTGGATGGGGTCTGGAATCGGATGAGCGTTAAGGTCCTTTCCAACCCAACCCAGTCTGGGATTCTATGACTCTAGGAGTGGCTTAAATGAAATCAGCACCTAGATTTCAGCCAGA